TTAACCATGTCGTTTGCTCCCCATGCCGGGCCTTCCTACCGCCCTGCAAACTGCTGAGGCCCTATTCACCCATGTGTTCCGGCACTACGGGGTACCCGAGGATATTGTGTCTGATCGGGGTCCCCAATTTACCTCCAGAGTCTGGAGGGCCTTTATGGAGCGGTTGGGGGTCTCGGTGAGCCTCACCTCGGGTTACCACCAGGAGAGTAATGGGCAGGTGGAACGCGTGAACCAGGATGTGGGTAGGTTTCTTAGAACATACTGCCAGGACCGGCCGGAGGATTGGGCAAGGTACGTTCCCTGGGCCGAGATGGCCCAGAATTCCCTACGCCATTCCTCCACTAACCTAACCCCTTTCCAATGTGTGTTAGGTTACCAGCCGGTTCTGGCACCTTGGCAGCAGAGCCAGATCGAGGCTCCTGCGGTGGATGAGTGGGCGCGGCGCTAGGAGGAGACCTGGAACGCTGCACACGTCCACCTGCAGCGGGCCCTACGACGTCATAAGGCGAGCGCCGATCTCCACCGCAGTGAGGGACCGGTGTACGCACCTGGTGATCGAGTCTGGCTCTCTACCAGAAACCTGCCCCTCCGCCTGCCCTGTCGGAAACTGGGTCGGCGGTTTGTAGGGCCATTTAAAGTCCTGGGAAGGTTGAACGAGGTGTGTTACAAATTACAACTGCCTGTTGAATATAAAAGTATTAACCCCTCGTTCCATGTGTCCCTTCTCAGGCCGGTGGTAGCTGGCCCACTCCAAGAAAGTGAGATCAGGGAGACTCCTCCGCCCCCATTGGACATAGAGGGGGCACCGGCGTACACTGTGAGGTCCATCTTGGATTCGAGACGTCGGATGGGGGGTCTCCAGTATCTAGTGGAGTGGGAGGGGTATGGTCCGGAGGAGCGGTGCTGGGTGCCGAGGAGAGACATCTTGGACCCGTCTCTCCTGACGGAATTCCATCGTGGGCACCCGACGCACCCTGCTCCGCGTCCACCGGGTCGTCCCCGAGGCCGGAGTCGGCGCACGTCTGGAGTCGCGCGTCAAGGGGGGGGTACTGTCACGGTTTCGGCCGAGGCTGCCTCTCTCCCTTGTTCGGGCAGGCTTCGGCGTTCGTTGTCTCCGGAATACTAGCTGCCACTGTTGTATGTTTCATGTTCGTTTGCTTTTGTCTGTTTGTTGTCACACCTGTTCTTGTTTAGCCTAATTAGTGTTCTATAAGTTTCTCGTTGTGTTTGTCTAGTGTTGTGTGTTATTGATTTTTGTCATTCGTGTATAGGGCGTGATTCTTGTATTTCGCTCGGTTGAGCTTCCCTCCACTGTTGGAGTATTTACGCACCTGTTTGTGCGCTTTTGTTTTGTTCGCCTTCGTGCGTATTTCGCCTTCGGGCAAGAGTTGACCTATTGCCGTGTTTGGCGATCACTAAAGTCTGTTGGACTATCCGTCTGTGTCCTGCGTTTGATTCCACCACTGCACCCACCTACAGCACGCGCTGACACTCCGGGACCACCCATACACAAAAAATGTATGCATGCATGACTGTAATTCGCTTTGGATAAAAGCGTCTGCTAAATGGCATATTATTATTATTATAGTACCACAGTATGAGTCATAATACCCATACAACCTAACGGTCAAACAGGGAAATTGTTTTTTTCTTAGGCTTTTGCCAAAATAAACTACATTGAAAGAGTAGACTAGATTTCGTTTTTGCCCCAATAAATGTAATTTAAAGGGCAGACTAGACTTGTTTTTCTGACTAGATTACTAATCTACCGCCTTCCCTCAGTCCCACCCACAGTGATTGATTGACAGGTCTGAAACCCAACCAACTCTGTCTCACAGTCATCCTGCCCCCTCCCCTGACAATCCCACCCTCAGTGATTGATTGACAGGCCGAAATGTTAAAGGGATAGTTCACTCAAATTACAAAATTACACAATGGTTGTCTTACACAAAGTGTCCACATCAGCAGAACCAATAAAATACATAATTTGAAGAACAAAAATAATTGTAGCAATTCATATCTTGCAGTAAATATGACTTAAATCTCAATAGAAGAAAGGTTTAATGTAAAAAAGGTTATCTTACTTAGAAAGTAGGTCTGATCATACAGGTCTAGGCTTTGACGTTATCCAAAACAATTAACAACACACTGAAGTCATATATTTTCAGTAATTTTTATTGCAAAGTCATTTTAAAGCAGTCATTGTAAAGTCATTAAAGTATTCAATAATTTAGCTGTGTAGTTTGAATGGAATCAAGGCATTCGAATTTACCAGAGGCCACCAAAATAGAGCTTATGCTGCAAAATAAAATCACCCCAGGACCCCCCCCAGCCTGGAACTCACTGGCTGGCTTTTCTTTTTGGCTGGCTACTCCATGTACTTACGGAAAACACTGTAAAAAAGAATAATAGGATGATATATATTAATATTATTAGTATATTAATATATAATAACAAAATAATAATATTAAATATGAATTGTATATTTTTTTGTTAATTGTTGGGGACTCATCTGCGATCAAAACAAATTGTAATATTATGCCTTTTGTCTTACATCTGAATTCATAAGAGTCATGATAAACCAAATGTGTAAGTAGTCTATTTATGAGATAACAACAATAATCAATGTCCTCTTCTCTCTCCTGACTCAAGTCCATAGAGTGCTCCTGGCTGCCAGTAGTGACTACTTCCGGGGAATGTTCACCAGCGGGATGAAGGAATCCCAGCAGCCCTGTGTGGCCCTTCCCTTCATGGAGGCCTCTGAGCTGGAGGCCCTGATTGACAGCTCCTACAGCGGGTCCCTCCCCCTCTGCTGGGGACGTGTCTTTGAGATCACCTGCATTGCCTTCCAGCTCCAGTTCCAGCACGCCCTCTTGCTGTGCCTTGACTTCCTGGAACAGGAAATGGACGCCCACTCCTGCCTGGACGTGGCATCTTTTGCTGAGGCTTATGGGATAACGGAGCTCCTCGAAGTGGCCAACGACTTTGTCCTGAGACACTTCCAAAATGTGGCAGCCACCCCTAAATTCCAAGACCTGCCAGTTAAGAAGCTTATAAAATACCTGAAAAGCAACTCCCTCTTTGTACCCTCAGAGCTTGTGGTCTTCAAGGCAGTAGAGGTCTGGATCAAGGCCTGTCCCAGTCAAAGGCTTAAACTCACCAAAGAGCTGGTGAAGAACATCCACTTTCCCCTCATGACCTTCACAGAGTTCAGTGAAGTTAAAACCGCAAAACTGTGGACTGAATGCAACATGAATCATCTCTACCTGACTATACTGGAGGACTTTCACTCCTATCAAGTTACACCTTGGAGCCTGTGCAGGGTCTACCAGCCCAAGGACAGTCTAGTCTTGGTGGCTGGAGACCAGATCTCTGCCGACTTTATCCGGCGATCCCCCAGCAGAGAACTGTGGTTCGGGAACTCTCTGAGGAACTACACAGGCATTGTGAAGACAGTTGAGTGGAGGTTGCTGGGAGAGATGCCAAAGCCACCAAGGTTAAGTCACGAGGTGGCTGTAGTCGCAGGGAAGTTGTACGTGCTCGGGGGACAGAATTATAAAGGAATGCTTGCCGTTTTAAACTCAGTCTACAGGTGAGATAAGAACTTTGGGGTTTGTATCTACTAACTAATGAGTCCTTTAGGTATTAATATTTTTACATATTTATGTTTTTACATTATTTTCTTCCTTCATCTCTCATTCTTTACGTTCTTTCAGATATAATCCGCTTCAGGACCGCTGGGAGAGAATGACCGACATGCAGGAGAAAAGGTGTAATTTTTCCGTGGTTGTTCTGGACGAGATTATATATGCCATTGGAGGGTACATTGATCCAGAAACTAACCTGGATAGTGTGGAGCGCTACTGTCCAAATACAGATTCTTGGAGGTAAGGTTTTTCTTTGGTAGCTCAAAAAGGAATGGTATCACAGAATCGCTTGCGGTACTTAATGGTTCCATTGGAAATGGTATGCAACTTATTAAGTAAAACTTTGTTTCTTTGTTGCTATCTTTACCAAATGTGGCGTTCCCTGTTAGCTTTGCCCAACCCTTGGATATGACCTTGAGTTGCCATGCTTCCACATTGTTGGATGGAGAGATCTTCATCTCAGGGGGGTTCGACTGCAGGTACCAGTGTCTGGTGTCCATGTTCCTGTACCATCCTGAGAGAGGAACAACCTACCTGGCAGAGATGAGCCAACCTCGAGCCCATCACTGCATGGAAACTTTAAACAATCATCTTTATGTGGCTGGAGGAGTCACTGTTGATGAAAACATGACGTCTGTCGACCAGCTGGCCTGTGAGGTCTACGACCCTGTTAGTGACTCCTGGAGTGCCCTCATGCCCCTGGCCGTCTCCCATGTTAGAGCAGCCTCTGTGGTTCTGGAGGGGAAGATCTATGTGCTGGGAGGATACTGCCAAGAGGACTACAGGGAGACCAGACTGGTGCATCGTTATGATCCCACCAACCAACTTTGGGAGAATATCGGCGAGATACCCGGACCTAACACTGACATAAGAGCCTGTTTGCTCCACCTGCCCAAACACTTGAGACAATGAAAAATCACTATACATCCCATAACACCACACTAAATATTATTCCACTACATGACCTACACCTTACTCCACCCAACTCTTATAAGTTAAGAATACTGAGTATACCATCCATCTAGCTAACACCAAGCTACATTTTCAGTTTTACAAATCATTTATTTTGTATATATTTAGCTCACACCATTTCAAATCAATAATAAAATGATATATAAATGTTCTCTACTGTCTAACAGCTAACTGAACCAGCTGGTGGAATTGTTTATTTTCTATAAGTAAATTAGAGGTAGATGTACAAGTTCATGGTGAAAATCAAGCTATTTAGCTAGCCAGCTAGCTACTTTTTGGCATCTGCTTTAGTGTCACATTCTAGGGCTTGGGTAATAAATTAACTGTCATTAGCTTGTTCCAAAATTATAACCAATTGCCATAGCCAACTTATGTAATGTAACATTGATCTTACAAGCATTTATTTCAATGGATGAGGATGCTTATTGTTTTAACACTGTTTTAACACTTTATGTAGCATGTGCCATACTTTAATCACTATATTCACAAGGACACCAGTTAAGCAACTTAAACGTGTTTATTTCTCTCCATGTGCAGGCTATAAGTGAATTACTATAAAAAAACAGGAAGGGCATTACAATTTCAGGGTGGCTTCATGTCCTCTTGGGAAATGAGAAACTGGGAAGTTGGAAGTCATAAGTCTAACATGAATGTGTTCACTTGCCTTTGAAGTCTGAAAAATTATTCAACCAATAAGATTTTAGCTAGCTTATCAACATTGCTAATAATAAAGTTAGCTAGCTTGCTTAACATTGACATATGATCAAACTAGCTACATTTGTCTACATTTCTCCAAAAACGTGTGACTTTTCTGTCCTTGCATTTATGGCAGTGTAAGTTGTCATTACATCATATATCAATAAGACATTTAACTTGAATCCTGTATGAATCCTGGATCTAGCTGTGGAAAATACAACTGAATACTAAATTGTGGTGATTGTCCTACATAGATATGATATGAAGTATGTGAGACAAAATATATGTATTATATGAGTCCTCTATGAATATTATAAGAAAAGCATATGTTCTGACAATGTTACCTCTACAAAATAAAACATTTCCTAATAGGTTTCATATTGTTTTTATAAGTCAACATACACTGAGTGTATAAAATATTAAGAACACCTTCCTAATGTTGAGTTGTACCCCAGTTATGAGTTTTGTATATCATTTGTATATCAATTATATACAAAATTATATTCAAATTTGTATGTAATGTATATATACATTTTCATTTTCAGGTATGAGTTTCCACGGTTAGAGAACACATGCATTTTATAATAAGTTTATAATACTTTCTATTTGTTCCTATATACATGTGGCATGTTACAATGTAAGAATGAAATAAAACCTTAACCAGTCCATTATAAGGGAAATTATGATGAACAGTCAGGCAAACTGTTAAGTATAACATATTTATTAACAGATGACGACGCCCTGTTGATGATGCCAAACAGTCACTCATACAGTGTCTACACAGTGCTGGAAATCTTTCATCTCAAAAAACAAATCTCAACCAAACAAGGATGATGGCCCTTAGTAAATGTTCCCCCGAAATATTTCCACGATTGTAGTATAGTGCATAAAAAATACATCTAGATTGAAAAATATGTCTACTGTATGGATGCCATGTTTAAAGTAACTGTCCAGTGTTTCCAGATTTATATTTAATATGATCTATAATTAATTACAATATGAGTGAAATCATTTTCATTCCAAGTGTTTTATTTATTAAGTACAATATGTTAAAAAACAGCTTTTCTGTGTTGGAATGATTGCGTTGTACCCCAACAACAAAAAAATAGTCATGCAAGTAGACCACTGATTGACCATCTCATCCTCTGTGAGGAAATAGCATTATTTTTTTTTCTGCTTAAATACAAGTTTGAGGTGGGTAAAAAAAATGAAAAAAATACTATTTATTTTCCATTTAACCTTTATTTACAGTGCCTTGCAAAAGTATTCATCCCCCTTGGCGTTTTTCCTATTTTGTTGCATTACAACGTATAATTTAAATGGATTTTTATTTAAATTTCATGTAATGGACATAGACAAAATAGTCCAAATTGGTGAAGTAAAATTAAAAAAATAAGTTGTTTCAAAAAATTCGAAAGAATATATAACGGAAAAGTGGTGTGTGCATATGTACTCACCCCCTTTGCTATGAAGCCCATAAATAAGATTGGGTGCAACCAATTACCTTCAGAAGTCACATAATTAGTTAAATAAAGTCCACCTGTGTGCAATCTAGGTGTCACATGATCTCAGTATATATACACCTGTTCTGAAAGGCCCCAGAGTCTGCAACACCACTAAGCAAGGTGCACCACCAAGCAAGTAGCACCATGAAGACCAAGGAGCTCTCCAAACAGGTCAGGGACAAATTTGTGGAGGAGTACATATCAGGGTTGGGTTATAAAACATATCAGAAACTTTGAACATCCCACAGAGCACCATTAAATCCATTATTTAAAAAAAGGAACGAATATGGCACCACAACAAACCTGCCAAGAGAGGGCCGGAAACCAAAACTCACGGACCAGGCAAGGAGGGCATTAATCAGAGAGGCAACAAAGAGACCAAAGATAACCCTGAAGGAGCTGCAAAGCTCCACAGCGGAGATTGGAGTATCTGTCCATAGGACCACTTTAAGCCATACACGCCACAAAGCTGGGCTTTACGGAAGAGTGGCCAGAAAAAAGCCATTGCTTAAAGAAAAAATTATCAAACACGTTTGGAGTTCAACAAAAAGCATGTGGGAGACTCCCCAGACATATGGAAGAAGGTACTCTGGTCAGATGAGACTAAAATTGAGCTTTTTGGCCATCAAGGAAAACGCTATGTCTGGCGCAAACCCAACACCTCTCATCACCCCGAGAACACCATTCCCACAGTGAAGCATGGTGGTTGCAGCATCATACTGTGGGGATGTTTTTAATCGGCAGGGACTGGGAAACTGGTCAGAATTGAAGGAATGATGGATGGAGCTAAATACCAGTAAATTCTTGAGGGAAACCTGTTTTAGTCTTCCAGAGATTTGAGACTGGAACGGAGGTTCACCTTCCAATGACCCTAAGCATACTGCTAAAGCAACACTTCAGTGGGTTAAGGGGAAACATTTAAAAACCTTGGAATGGCCTAGTCAAAGCCCAGACCTAAATCCAATTGAGAATCTGTGGTATGACTTAAAGATTGCTGTACACCAGTGGAACCCATCCAACTTGAAGGAGCTGGAGCAGTTTTGCCTGGAAGAATGGGCAAAAATCCCAGTGGCTAGATGTGCCAAGCTTATAGAGACATATCCCAAGAGACTTGCAGATGTAATTGCTGCAAAAGGTGGCTCTACAAAGTAGAGTAGAAGTTTTCTGTTTTTTTGTCTTATTTCTTGTTTGTTTCACCCAAAAAATTATTTTGCATCTTCAAAGTGGTAGGCATGTTGTGTAAATCAAATGATACAACCCCCCCCAAAATCCATTTAAATTCCAGGTTCTAAGGCAACAAAATAGGAAAAATGCCAAGGGGGTGAATACTTTCGCAAGCCACTGTAACTAGGCAAGTCAGTTAAGAACAAATTCTTATTTACAATGACGGCCTAAAATGTGCATTGTGAACAGATAATGAAAATAGTAATAACAGATAATGAAGCTCTGAGTAATGAACAGTTTTTCAACACAGTTTGGTGAAAGCCCTGAAGCCTTCAGAAAGCCTTGGTTTCCCATCACTAGTATAGTGATAAATAATTAGATTTTAATGATAACATATTCGCTTAGGACTGAAACTGGATGAATACAACAACCATTTCCCTGTCACTAACAAATACAGTCGCAGTCATTCACTCGAAAGGCAAGGCACACTGGGAAATATGCAAACAAGGCTTTACACTAAGCAGTGTGTTAATTTAACACTGAAAAGTGTGAACCCATGTAGACACTGGACCAGTAACACTCTCAGTGTTGATTTAACACTGGTGAATTTGCTGAATTCACAGGATTTGCGCACCAGCCAAGCTTCTGGGCGAGTGTGATGGTTCCCCTTTGATAAGGTATCAGTGAACACCACCAATGAACACCACCACAATTAACACTGAGTTAGTGCAACATTGTAATGCACTGGTGTTGGAAAGTATCAGCGTTAAAAGAGCAGCACTTTAGAAAGTGTAAATTCAACACTTTCTGGTGGTTCTCATGTAAACGCTTAAAAGGTGTGACATTGAACACCCACAGTGTTCACTTTATCGATCAAATGTAGCTGTGTAGTTGTTGCAAAAGCGCATTTTCACTGGCTGTCCACTGGGGCATATTCATAACTCAGATTCTGTTGCAAAACGGGGAGGGACCTACCTGAATTTTTTCTCTGTTTGAATCCATTTGGTTCGTAAAAAAGTTTCCGTAATGAATATAACCCAGGTCGCAAAATCAATGATTGATAGGCAGCTTAACCCTTAGCCTACAATTTCCGCGCCCCCGCGGAAATCAAATTAACAACATAATAACATCCCCATCAAAATGTGTCTGTTTAAACTTCTTCAGTTCAATCGTTACCGGGTTAAAATACATGTATACATTTGTGAACAGCCATCCACAACAACAACAATCCGTGAAGTGCAAATAAATGAGAGAGCAGCAGTGTGCTATGTAGCCTAGGTATCAACAATCAGTGATATCAATATCGCCCCATAGGCTACACCACTGCTGTTATCTTTGGATGCCGACAGCAGTCGCACCATTGGAAGACATAGCTGTTGCTGATGTGTCTGAATTAGAGGTACAATGGGACCTTGGAGAAGAGTAGCGCAGATTACGAGTACATACTGGTGATCTGTGACTATGCCACCCAATTCCCTGAAGCCTTCCCACTCTGTTCCATAAACACTTCCAAAATAATCAATTATCTTGTTCAGCTCTTCTTTTGTGTAGGAATCCCAGATGAAATCCTGACGGACCAAGGGAAAAACTTCACCTCACGACTGATGGTTCAACTCCACCAACAGCTGGGCATCAAAGGCTGAAGGACCACTCACTACCATCCCCAAATGGATGGGCTCGTTGTGAGGTTCAATCAAATGCTCAAGAACATGCTGAGGAAGTTTGTGGCTGACACTGGTAAAGACTGGGATAAGGGGTTACCCTTGCTGCTTTTTGCTTACAGGGAGGTGCTTCAGCAGGACCAG